ATATGATTTGTGCTTCTCAGATGAAGCATGGAGTTTTGGGAAATTGCTCCTTTTCATTCCATAGCTCCAGTTTGTGCTCTCAGGAAGAAGCCACACTAGTGACTTCACGTCGGTACCTTCTCTTTGGCACCAAGAGTGGCCAACTCTCTGAATCACACTCTGGGAGTTTACCAGTCACAATTCATTTTGATTCTGATGTCAACTCTGGAGCCAAACAGAAAACAAGATTACTTGAAATAAAGGAGCAAAAAATTTGCAGCCAATAATAAATGTTTGCCAGAAATATTTAGAATGACTCAGGTATAAATTGATCGGGATTTGTTTAGTGACATTTGCACTTACATTTGTCATCTGTAGTGGTCTTCAAGGTGTGGCTAATACAAGAAACGTACAGGAATATCTCTGTCTCTTTCTCTGTTTTCCTCCCCATCACTTAGCTTTGGACCTCTCAGGATGGCTGTTTCTCAGGCTGTAATTTTTGAGGTGGAGAATAGTGGCATAGAAGTTCTAAAACAATGTATTCCTGAGTGGAATAGAGATATACCAGGACAGAGATATACCAGCGGCCATATCAGGATTAGGAAGGACTACTCTGACCTTCCTATGTGGGCCCACATGCCCATAAGATACTCTTTATTTTTTAAGTTAAAATATTTTAAAATTTTTTATAAGATTGTTCACAGTAATTTATTACATACAATACCAAACCCACCACCATTGTACCTTACTCCCACCATTATTTTGAATTTTCCACCACCACCCAAGCCTGCCCCAAAGGCAGATCCGAAATCATTTATTTTATATTGTTTGTTAAGACTAATTTGCTAAAATGATCCAAAAAGGTTTTCTTAGACGAAAGTGTATCAGATCATTGCATCTCACCACAAGACACTCTTTACTGGAACCATGTGCTTTGATGACTCTAGAATTTCTTTTTCCCATAGAGAAGGTGGGCAACCTTGGTTGATAGCCCTGCCAGGTGGAAAGAGTGCTTTCATAGAACAGATATTACTTTTTGGTAGAATAAAAGGAAAAGTCAAAACCCTCAAGTTTAAAATTCACTTGTGTTCTATCATCTGGACCAATATGGATTTAAAAAAACAGACATCATTCATTTATATAACTGAGTTTATAATATTTATAGTCAGTAATATTTATAGTCAAATATTTATAGTTAAAATAATGCCAAGTGGTATTTACATGAGTTACTTCTTTAAAAAAATGTTCCTAGAGCAAGGCACAGGCAACTTTCTTGGGGGAGTTCCCTGTCGTGTGGATGAGCACCATTCCATCTCAGTATCCACCCAGCTCCTGTGGACCATAGTTCTGAATGGTGAGGAGGGGCTTTACTCTAGAGAGGCTGGCATGCCTGTAACTGCTCTGCTTTTTGATCCCGCAGCCTGTGGAGAGTCGTCAAATCCGAGTTCTCCCAGCTGTCTTCGTTGGCTGTCCCTCTCCTTCTTCATGCTCTATCCCTTCCTCATGGTGCTGACATCTTCTGGACAATCATCAACGGCAATTTCAACAGCAAAGACTGGAAGATGAGGTTTGAAGCAGGTACCTCTGTATTAGCTTAAAATGTTCTCTTGGGGTTATGAGGTAGACCAGATGGCCAGTAATGACATCTAGTTCTGGGCCTTCTTTCTCCCTTGCCTTTTTTTTCCCCTTGGAGGTCGGAAGGCCTCCAAAGATGTCATGCTTATGGGAGTGCTTATGGGACCCTGGGGATGGTTCATTATGAAGACATAAAGATGCTGTGCTGATCAGGCCTTTGGCACCAGGGACCACCAGGGCCACAACCTGGGGTTCTCAGGGGGCCCCTGGTCTCCACCAAGGATGCTTGGGGCACCAAGCGGTGCTGGGGGTTGGACCAGAGTCCTGAAAACTCTGTTATTTCTCTCTGTCTCTGTCTCTCCTGTGACATTGCCTCTTTTTTTTTAAAGTACCATTTCCTGCTTGCCAATGTTCCCATGTTTCTACTGGGCACAGCCACCACACTGAAACTCTTCTGTGCGCCTCAGGCAGGCTGCTCCTCCTGGATTTCCTCAGAGTTCCCCCTTCTAGCTTCCTGCTCAGTTGTCTGTTATTTGTACCCTTGTTTTCTCTCCAGTGGGTCCTGGGTTGAGTGGTCAGTTACCTGGTAAATTGAATAGGCTTCTGGCATCAGAGTAAGTAGGGATATCTGCCAAGAATGCAGACATTGGGACCCCATCCTTGACCTATTGCCTCAGAGTCTTTCAGGGTGAGGCCAAGAATCTCTATCTTGATCAAGGAGGCATCAGGGACGTGTCTGGGACAGGGAAGGTCTCATTCCCTAGTACCGAGAAGAGCGAGACTTAGAGGGGCACGGTGAGTCTGCTCAGCCCTGTCTGCCTTCTTCGCTGTCATTCCAGGCTGCTAATGATCATTCTCAGGAGGCAGCTCCCTGCCGTCATGTGCTTTCTCGGAATAATTCTGCATATTTTAGTGTCCCAAAAATTTGGCAAAGAAGTGGGAGTCTGATTAGGTGAGCTAACGGTTACTGTCAGAAAGTGTTCAGTTCATGAAAATTTGGCCACCTCTAGGAGTTCTTGCTTTTTATTTTTGTGGCGGGGGTATGGAGGCCTCCTGAGTAGTGCTCAGGAGTCCCCTCCCTCAGGCCCTGCAGTTCTGGGCATTACCTGGGCCACTCTAGGAATGCTTGGGGGCTCCAGGGATTCACCTTGCAGTGCTTGTGGGCCTCCAGGGCTACACTCAGTGATGCTCGGGGGACCATGTGGTGCCAGGGATCAAACTTGGGTGGACCACATGCAAGGCAAGTGCCTCAACCCCTGTACTACCTCTCCAGTCTCAAGTTATTGCTTTTTCGAAAATGCCTGTGGATGCCCAGGCTTGTTTACATAATAACACATGATGTTGTAGGGAATTAGATAACCCTTCTCACAAAGCTTCACGGGGTTGGCAACACTTTACAGCCATTTAAATACAAATAAAGCAGACAAATATTTAACTCTGCTCTTCCACTCCAATTTAAGGATTAGATTGTTCGCAAACTAATCTGAATCACAGCTCTGGGGATGTTGCTTTTCCAAGGACTGTGCATGGGTTTGCAGTGCCAGAGAAAGAAGCTCAGACTCCTGTCAACATTTGGAGCCTCTCAGAGCCTGTTTTCCCCTCTCTCTGCTCTCACCCTGCTGTCCTCCCATGGCTCCTCCTCACCGAGGCTGGCCGTTCTGTACTCTCCAAGTATTCTTTGTGTCACTTCTGTTTCCATGTCCTTCAGATGCTACCATTGAATTTTACTTTCTCTCTCTTGATGAAAAATTCTTCCTTCTGCATGCACGCGCGTGTGCGTACGTGTGTGTGTGGTGGGTGTGAGGGCTACACCCAGTAGTGTGGAGTTTACTCCTGGCTAATTCCTGGTCATGCTCAGGCAATCATATGTTGGAATCAAACTGTGGTCAGCTACGTGGGAGGCAAGTGCCTTTCCTCTGTACCATCTCTCTGACCCTGAAAAGTCATTTCTTTAGTACCTGATCTCCCATGGCACTAGCTCATACCTCCGTAGTTGCCATTGCCAACTTTTCATGTTATATTTCAGTTTTTTTCAAGTTGACTTTACTTTTAAAATTTATTTTTATTTATTTTTTATTTTTTGGAGGGGGCTTGGCAAACCCTAGCAGTGCTCATGGGCTTTTTCTGGCTCTGTGCTGAGGATTGACCCCTGACAGTGCTTAAAGAACTATTTGTGATGCTGGGGATTCAGTTGAGGTCAGTGGGATGCAAGGCAAGCACCTCACCCCCTCCTTAGTCCAGCTGACTTGACTTTGAAGTGAAAATTGTGAATGATTTATTAGTCTACTTGGGCTGCCGTCACAATACCATGGAATTTAACAATTGAAATCCATTTTCTGGAAATTATAGAGACTGGGAGGGCAAAGGTCAAGGGGCTCTTCCTAGCTTGTAGATGCTCTCTTATTTTAGAAGGGGGATGAGGGACAAGGGAGAAAAGAAAAGGAGGATGAGGAGGAGAAAGAAGAGGAAGAAGTGGAGAGGAAGGATGAGAAGGAGTTAGAGGAGGAGGATAATAAACACAACATTCTGGGATCTCTTCCTCTTAGAAGGATACTAACCCTGTCATGGTGGCCTCATCAACTAAAGCAAATTCTCTCCTGTGGGCCCTTCCTCCTCAAACCATTCACACTGGGGTTAGGGTTTTACTGGGTAAATTGTAGGGGGCAGGGGGATGCAGAGATTCCATCCTTAACAGTTTATTTATCCATTTACTCCCAATCTCTTCCAAGGATCTGGGGGCAATTTCTTAGATATGTTCTTAGTTATATATATGCTCGAGCGGGCCCAGTAACGTCTCCGTTGGAGACTTCGTTGTTACTGTGTTTGGCATATCGAGTACGTCACGGGGAGCTTGCCAGGCTCTGCCGTGCGGGCGAGATACTCTCGGTAGCTTGCCGGGCTCTCCGAGAGGGGCGGAGGAATCGAACTCGGGTCGGTCATGTTGGCTGCATTCAAGGCAAACGCCCTACCGCTGTGCTATAGCACAGCGGGTAGGGCATTCGCCTTACAAGCGGCCAACATGGCCGACCCGAGTTCGATTCCTCCGCCCCTCTCGGAGAGCCTGGCAAGCTACCGAGAGTATTCGATATGCCAGACACAGTAACAACAAAGTCTCCAATGGAGACGTTACTGGGCCCGCTCGAGCAAATCGACGATCAATGGGAGGGCCTTTACCTTTACCTTTACCTTATATATATATATATATATGCCTTATATATTGTCACTGTCACTGTCACTGTCCTCCCGTTGTTCATCGATTTGCTCGAGTGGGCCCAGTAACGTCTCCATTGGAGACTTTATTGTTACTGTGTTTGACATATCGAATACATCACGGGTAGCTTGCCAGGCTCTGCCATGGGGACAAGATACTCTCGGTAGCTTGCCGGGCTCTCTGAGAGGGGCGGAGGAATCGAACTTGGGTTGGCCATGTTGTGCGTGCAAGGCAAATGCCCTACTGCGCAGCACATATACTAAAATTGGAACGATACAGAGAAGATTAGCATGGCCTTATATATTAGAGATACACAAATTTATGAAAGAAATACTGTAAGTACTGCTCATTATGGGAGCAGTTAGAAGTATAAAATTACTCTTTACAAAGAGAAAATCCTGAGGCTGGAGAGATTGTTCAGGGGATAGGGTACTTTGCTTGCATCTAATGACCCTGGTTTGATCCCCGACAGCACATGTGGTCCCCTCAAATATTACTGAGAGCAGTCCCTGAGCACAGACCCAGGAGTTGCCCCTTACGCACTGATAAGTGTGCCTCACCACCCCCCAACCAATATCTGAGAGAAGCCCCCGATTGAATTGAATTGATTGATGAGACCATATGGTAATATTTAAGAGGTTAAAAAAGGCTAACGGGAGAGCAAATAAAGAGCTATAATGCTGAAGACCAAAAGCGGTATTTACGGCAACCAAATGTGTTGTTGGGGATCAAACCAGGGTCATTACATGCAAAAAATGTTAAAACTTTCAAGCCCATAAAAGGTCTGTGATAAACAAGATAGGTGTGCACATAATTGTCGTTTTGCAGAAGTTGATGGGCTGGAAAAGACCACTAGAAGATCACAGTGGACTTTACAGATCATGGTGAATTTCAGAGCAGATTGTTTAAGGAGAACTGAATGTCACGAAGGAAAAGAACAAAACGAATATTCCAGTTCTTTCTGGGCAGCAGAAACCAACTATTAAATTGTATTTGTGGGACAGAAGATGGCTTTTCAGTTATTAGAGACTTTGTTTGTTTTGAGAATGACTGGACTCATTTAAAATAAATTTGCTGAATTATTAGAACTCAAGCAAGCAAGGGTGGGTCTGTTTCAGAGAAACCCATGGGCTCTAGAGCCCCAGCACAAGTGCCAGTCACTTCAAATCACAACACAGACTAAGTGTATCCAGAATCCAGAGCCAAACCTGGTGGGTAACTATACCTCCCTCTCGTCTGCAGCCTCTCTACATGAGGGCTGGGGAAATGAGCATAAATTTTACTCTCTGTAAAATGCAGTGTAAAATGTACCTGGAAGTTAAATAAAGGAAAAGGCCATTAAAAAATAATGAGAGGACACCCAGAGCTAACTTGAGCCTGCCGCCTGGCAGGAACTGCTATCCTTGGTAGAAATAGGCACAGCAGTACAAGACACGGAGGACACTGGCCGTGGTGGCATCCGGATTCTGTTGGGAACTGAAAAGGTTTTCATGTGGGGGCCCAGCCTTTACTGTTTCTCTTTGGGTTCAGGTCTCAGACTCTCTAAATAAATGTCTTTATTTTTCTGTCCTCTGCCTTTTGCATTGCAGTGGAAAAGGTGGCTGTCATTTGTAGGTTTCTGGATATTCACTCAGTGACCAAAAACCACTTGCTGAAGTACTCCCTGGCCCATGCCTTCTGCTGCTTCCTGACGGCGGTGGAAGACGTCAACCCAGCAGTGGCCACCAGGGCTGGCCTCCTACTTGACACCATAAAGAGGCCGGCCTTGCAGGTGACAACTCTGACACTTCTGTTATCTGCTCTGCAGATGGGTCTCTGCTCCTGCCACTGAATCTGTGGACTGTTTGTCCCTTAGAACACACAGAATGCACTGACTGCTATGAACTATGGCTCTTTCTAAGCTGGGAAAAATATTCAAGAAACACACCCTCAGAATAGGCCTCTTGTTCTGATGGGTCAATGCTTTCTTTTGTGATCTCTGTTCATATACTCTGTTGCTTCTTAGAGATATGATTATTACCTATCTCTTTATTTGGGAGCTTGTGGCAGGTTTTAAAAATTAGGCTAGCTTATTATATGCTGTTTAGTTGGTTCCTGGGTTGGAAGCCACTATCGGCTAGGTGCTGAGAGAAATGACATGAATTATAGTGCAAAATTAAGCAAATCATGAGAAGGTAAACATGAAACACCAAACAATAAAGCCAAAGAAACATGCAATATTAGAACTAGAGAGAATTGTGTGTCTATTGTATAAATTTTGTAGCTGAGGCACCCAAATTTCAGAGAATGTGGCTTAACAAAGGGCACAGCGAATTAGAGGGAGAAACAGACTGAGGAACCCCCACCCCCATCCCAATCAACTGTTTTCCCACACTGGCATCAAATTTATTCTCATCCTCATTATTAAAAACAATAATAATGGCAGGAACAAACTTTTGTGACCATACACATTTTGTTTCTGGGGCAGTGTATTAGAAGTGACCCATCATGATTGTACTATCTCACTTACCCTCATAATAGCCTTTGTGTATAACCATTTTACAGATAAAGAAGATGAGGGTTAACAAAGGTCAACTTTGTCAGTAAGATGACTGGACAGTGGCTGCAAATGTGGGTCTGACTTATAATAAAGTCCCTGTGTGTGTGTGTGTGTGTGTGTGTGTGTGTGTGTGTCTACACATTGCCTCCCGATTAGTATAATTCTGCTTGTGAAAAAGACTAAGGGGAAAAAAGGTTAAGAAGAAAGGTGAATTGTGCAGGAACTGAAAAAGCGTTAGATTATGTGCCTCTAGATCCCAACCCTCCCTTGTGAAAATCCTCAGCAGTCTCCAGGCTAGTTGTTTTCTTTTGATCTTGAGCAAGCAGGCAGTAACGTGTCTTACCCCAGCTCAGGGCCTGAAACACAGGAGTGGAGGTACTTATGGATGAAAAGTAATAGGATGGCTGGGTATATTACAGCCTTACAGTGCCATTTAATGAAAAGGGGGGAAGGGTACACTTACATTCTAGAGAAATGGAGGCATAGTGTCCATTCCAGTTTTTATTTTGGTTGGAGGCCAGTGGGCTCCATTGAAAATTCTTGATCAGCTGTCCTGGGGCTTCAGTGGGAAGTCCTGATGGGGCAGTGCTGTTTGGGAGCCCTTTGGGATTAGGTAGGCCACCCTAGCAGTGCATCCAGTGATGCTCAGGGGACCAGATGGTGCCAGGACTGGTCACATGCAAGAAATGAGTGTTAATCCCCGTACTATCTCTCTGGGTCCAGTTTTGATTTTTTAATTTGTTTTTTGGGCCACACCCAGCAAGGCACAGGGGTTACTCCTGGCTCCTGCTGAGGAAATAACCCCTGGCAGTGCTTAAAGCACTGTATGGGATGCTGAGGATCAAAACTAGGACAGCCGTGTGCAAAGCAAACACCCTACCCACTGTACCATCACTCCAGTCCCCAAGCTTTGATTTTTTTTTTTTAAGATGCCATTTTCCACTTATCCACCAGAAGACAAGAGGACTTCACTTTCTCTCAGAATTATAGAATTTGAAACTGGAAAGGGGATTTAAAGACCATCTGGCATAAATTTAGTTCTGGAAGTAAGCTTCTCTTAGAGAAATTATAGAAACATTGCTGTGCGGGTTTTTGGATTAATTCTCACCTGCGATGATTTAGTGCATCCAGAAAAATCCATAACATATATTTAGCCAACTTCTGAATCAATATTCAAGAAATTCTACATTTAGGAAAAGCTCTTCTCCTGCATTTTCCACCCTCTCCAAAACTGAAAAGATGAAGATTCCAGTTGAAATCTGCTAACAGTCTGGACTGAGAAGTGAGTGCTTTAAGGTAATATGGATTATTATTATTTTTCCCCCTGACTTTCCTTTTCTCTCTTTCTATCTTCAGGGTCTGTGTCTTTGTCTCGACTTCCAGTTTGACACTGTGGTTAAAGATCGTCCTACAATACTAAGCAAGCTTCTGCTCTTGCATTTTCTTAAGCAAGATATTCCTGCTCTAAGCTGGGAGTTCTTTGTCAACAGATTTGAGACGCTTTCTTTGGAAGCTCAGCTACATTTGGATTGCAACAAAGAATTTCCTTTTCCCACCAGTAAGTATAAGGTGAACTTAATTTTCCATAGACACTATTCCCTTGCAAGCGCTGGCTACTTAAGCAGTGGGGATCCTGTAGGTAATCTCACTCTGGATAACGCCTCGACTTCACTGACTCAGCTTATCAAATCTTCGGTGAAGATCTACTGTAATAAGCCACAGATGAGCTGTTTTCTGGCCTTCCAGATTCAAAGTTCTCATTTCTTTTCTATCCAGTTGTCACCATGTGGCCCTTAACTATTACTCAGTCATCAATTTATCTTGTTCATGAGAAATTTTGGGAGATATGTTTGTGTCTTACAAATTCAGTCTTGTATCCATGGGGCAAACACTTTGGTTATGCAACCACTGTGATAACACAACTTGATCACTTCATTTTATGGGCTAAACAGAAAGACAACAGTCATGATAGTGAATAATCATATTTGTTTATACGTTCCTGGTTCTTATTAGAAAGAGCTATATGCTCTTCTAATATAAGCTTTTTGGTACACATGCTTACAGAGACAGGTATATAAAATATAGACAACCTCTGCACCCATTGTGAAATCACCAGCAAGAGCAATTTTATTAACACCCTTCACCACATGATCAGCAAACTTTTATTTTTTATTTTGGTGAGAACTTCTAAGAGCAGCTTTCCTGATTACTTTCAAATATGCCATCTGGAATTCATTAACTCTGGTCATGATGCTGCATATTACATGCCCCCTGGCTGATTAATTCCATAACTAGAAGCTGGAACATTTTGACCACCCTTTTCTATCAGGAGACTTGTAGAGGGAGCTGTGAGTCTTGAAATGGGAAAGGGGATTACAAGAGCATCTTGCATAAATATAGCTAGCCCTGGCAGTATCTTCTCTGAGAGAAATTATAGGCACTCAAAAAGAAACATTGCTTTGTGGGTACTTGGAGTAATTCTCAACCTGTGATGGTTACACCTCTCCCGTGTACCCGCGGAAGAGAGATTTAATATTGACCTCTACCAATGGAGCGATAGCACAGCGGTAGGGTGTTCGCCTTACAAGCGGCCAACATGGCCTTCCCGAGTTCGATTCCTCCGCCCCTCTCGGAGAGCCCGGCAAGCTACCGAGAGTATTCGATATGCCAGACACAGTAACAACAAAGTCTCCAATGGAGACGTTACTGGGCCCGCTCGAGCAAATCGACGATCAACGGGAGGGCCTTTACCTTTACCTTTACCTACCAATGGATGATTTCCAGTACATTAAAGGGAGAATC